TTATGCCATCTACCTCCGAGATGGTTTTTAAACAGGAAAGGATGAAAATGTCTCTTCTTTTAAGTTTTAACTGGAAGCTTGTCCTGGGCTGGTGCATGAGTCCGTCTGGCTCAAGGAGCAACCTCCACCTAGCGAGGTTCTGATTAAGGGTTGGGCACCTCCCCCACACCCGCCGTCTTTCACGCCACGTTTCGGTGGATGCTTTGGGTTTTCCTGCCAAAGCCATGTAGATGCCAGCAGTGACGAGAAAGCGAGAAAGGATTTTTTGTCTTGGGTTTGGATAGTCACCTATTTTGGATATCCAACCCCCCTCCAATATCCCAAAGAATATGTCGGGTGGAAGAGAATCACAGGCGCTGGGAGAAAGGGCAGATGAGAGGATGGGAATGGAGGGACTCGGGGCCCAGGGGGTGTGGGAGGAAGGAGTCTCCTTGGAGATGGGGAAGGAGATGCTCCCAACCCTTTGAGCTGGGCCCAAGGGGGGAGGCGAGGAGGTGGGACAGCAGGGCGTGCAGGGAGGGCTCCAGGGGCTCCTCCGTGCAGGGAGGGCTCCAGGGGCTCCTCCGNGGGCTCCTCCAGGGGAGGTCTAGAGGCCCAGCGGGAAGTGGCAGGTTGAGCGCGGGCAAGGGCAGGGTGAAAGGGGGCTCCGTTCCCCTGCAGGGGGTGCTAGGCCGTTTGTGTCAAGGGTGCCACTGGCCCAACCCATTGTAGAGACGTGGCCCTAGCGGCAGGGCGAGGAAGGGACCCGGTACAGACTGCTGTCCTTTGAGTGGCCGATGGCCACACCAAGTGGAAGTCAGGCCCCGTCGGTCCACAATTCCCCAGCACCCCCAGAGTCCTCTCGTGCCTCCCTCCCTCCACTCCCGGTGGTTCAGGGCCCACCTTCGCCCTATTTATCATCCCACATTTTCCCAACCGTAGCCCAGGGCCAGGTGACAGGGGTGCCTACTGTGACCAAGCTGGATGTGGTCCCCAAGGGCCCCAGACCACCTCCTTCCCCGACCGCCTCACCATCTCTGCAGCTCCTGGGTACAGGGACCAGTGGTGTACATTCTTAGATGTTCTCAGATTCTTGACTCTTCAGCGTCCCAAGCATGACAGACGTCAGCTTCGTCCCGCCTAAGTGCCATCAACAGCCCTGCCTGGCATCGGCCCAGCTGCTGTTCCATGACCAACAACAGACACTCAAGAAGCACGTGTGCTCACTGGTTGGAGTACGGTGCCAGGCAGACCAGGCTTGCCGGCTGCCTGGCTCTCCCCAGTGCCCCACGTCACTACCCGGCCACCACCCTGCCCAGCATGCCAGCCACCTGGCAGCATGGGGAGGTGAGGCAGAGGTGGTTCCCACAACCCATACCACACCCTGGGACCAGCTGAGCAGCCCTCTTCTGCTAGGCTGGGGCCAGAAACATCATCTCGTGTAGGAAGTGTCACTTTGACACTGCTCCTTCTCTGGCCAGCACGGAGCCCCAGGGCACTCCAGAAAGGCTGTGGACGTTGACATGTGCCTTGTCCAGCAGAGACTGCAGGGCTTGCTTAGAGGCAGGGGCCCAATAGGCTCCTGTGGACATTGCCCTGCACTGGCCTGGCTCCTTGGGGTCACCAAGGGAAGCACGTTGCCCAGCATCTCCAAGGCCCAGGGATCTGGGTCCCAGAGGGGGACGGCCACTCACTTCCTGAACCTGCCACAGCCCTTGGTGAGTGAACTGGCCAGAAAAGGTGTTTTTCTTTACTGACTTTTCAGCAGGGGCTGTGGCAGCCACCTACCACGTCAGGGCCATCCAACGTGGACACCTGCCCCAGATTCCTCCCAGCTGTGCCCCTGGAGGAGGCCAGAGGGTGAGACAGGGTGGGGGTGGGGTCCCCGGCAGCGCAGCCCACGAGCGTGCACAGCACCTCGGATCCCTTTAGGGGGAGGGACCCTCCAAGCTGGTTCCCTGGGCTCTGACTTTTGGGGGGATTTATAGTTAGGGACCCAGTGGGGCATGTGCCCTTTGCTCTCTTCTGAAAGGAGGGACCTTTCTCCCTTTTCTGAAGAGATCTGGAAGTCTTGATCGTTTTTAAAACCCTCAGAAATGACAAGTGAAGCGAAAACATCTCCTAATGTTTTTATTTTCCTCAGATAACTGGAAGGTACAAAGTTTTCCTCGTTTTTTACTTTAAAAACGTTCTTTCCACACACTGTTGCCCTCTTCACATTCCTTTCCCTTTGGAAACTGAAGTTTCCCTGGCAAGCCTTCCCATCTGCGGCTACAGGACTTGGATAATTTAATAGGAAGAGAGTAATTCCTTTGATTATTATCAACATGAACTTGACTATGTGTCTATAAGGGTGAACACTGATTTTTTTTTTTTCTTTTTAGAAACAAAAACCATCCACTTATTAATCCAAACTACGGCATTGCATTTACAACATCCACTGCATAAACTGAACGAACAGGGTTACCACCTCAAGGGGGAACAGACGGACACTGCACAAGTATCTACGGGGTACACGAGTTCAAACAACGTGGGTACAGCGACTTCGTTCTGTGCTCTCCGACCATCGCTTTAGCAAGTGCTGGACACAGGTCTGCGTGCGGCTGGAGCCTCCGCACGGTTGATCTAAGAGACAACAACACAGTCAGGAAACAGCAGCTGCGATGGGATGGGAGCGACACTAGCCTGCGCCGAGCGCAGCCCGGGGCTCTCAAGGAGACAGGACGATCACAGCCATCGGAGGCGACCACGACTGAGGAAACGTCCGTGCCACCCTAACAGCGGGCCATTCTTGGGCGAGAATTGGCCAACAGTCACTACCTTGCTTCTTTAGTATGTTCTGTGACCAGAGAGGACGGACGGGGCAGAACCGGGGTGCCATGGGCTGCAGTTCCAGCTGCAAGTACAGGGGTTTCTTAGGACGTCTGTGGCCCGCCGGCACGAACGGGAGACACAGGAGGTAATGCCATCCCTCGACGTCAGGATCCGCATTGCTGATGATTTTCCAAATTAGTGTGATGAGTATCATTTTGGCAGCTGTTTCACAGGAGTTTCCTTGTGGGTGAGGACTTGGACCGTGGCTTCTGGGCAGAGGGAGCTACAACTCGTCAGAGCGAATGACGTGGAAGAGAGTGACGTTGTAGAGGATCTGGTGGCCATTGTTCCAGGCATACAGGGCCCGGTCCTTGGGGTTGTAGTCCAACATGGAGATGTGGGAGTATTTGTTCTGGAAGGGGATGTCGATGTACTCGTAGGTGGAGGCGTTGGTCTGGTACGCGTAGTGGACCTTGGTGCCCCCCGAGTAGCCGTTGGTGACGTAGAGGGTCCCGCAGATGATAAAGGCCTCTCCAGCACTGCGCTTGGGGTAGCTGGTGTTCCAGGTCTGCAGGATCTGCAGCGAGATGGGGTCCAGCTTGCTGATCACGATGTTGCCCGCGTTCTGGTTGGTGGCGTAGACGGCCCACAGCCCGTTCTCGTCCACCATGAGGTCGATGTCTGAGTGGCCACCCCAGGCATAGTGGTACATGTTGTTGTAGCCTGCGTAGTCCAGGCTGCGTGTCTTGAGGATCGTCTCCGTTTTCAAGTCGAACCTGATGATGATGTGACTCTGGAACTTGTTGAAGTAGATGGAGCCGTTGTAGACCACCTGCCCCGTGCCGGACCAGGGGTGGGGCAGGCGGTGCGAGGTGAAATTGTCCGTGTTCATAAAGTCAATCATAGATTTGTACTCGCGGACAAAGCGGTTGTTGTGGTAGCCATCCATGTACCACACCTGCAGAGAGAGCAGACCATTAGCACTTCCCAGGACAGGCAGGCTCTGGAAAGAACCAGGAAAGAGTCACTAAGACTCATGGGTGTCATGACCTTCCTCCAAACCCAGAGTGCACTTTTCAGAAGGGGACAGGACTATTTCACTGCCAGAGAAGGAATCCTCCAGTTCGGAGGGAGGACACCGTGGGAAGGCAGCCGTGGGAAGGGACAGAAGAGTGCACTTTTCAGAAGGGGACAGGACTATTTCACTGCCAGAGAAGGAATCCTCCAGTTCAGAGGGAGGACACCGTGGGAAGGCAGCCGTGGGAAGGGACAGCACGGCAGCCTCCCCAGTGCGTGGGCTGTGGAGCTTACACAATTCATACAACCAGGGCAGGCCCCACACCGAGCCTTCTGCTTGGGATGCCACACTGGCGAGTTTGCTGCCCGGCCACATGTATGGAAGAAAGGAACCCCATCAGCGCGAGCATCCCAGCAGCAGTGAGATGGACCCTGTACAAGTTCAAATGCTCACAGTACTGGTGGCTCTGGTCTGCTGTGACCACTGCTGTCAAGGCCACCTTTGTATGCCAGCGTCAGGCCTCTCCACCCTGCCCGTCTGTCACCGCAGCACAGGTTGAGTCATCCTATCTGCAGGTGGAACATCACTCGTGGCATTTGGGACACTGTGAGTGTACTCACTCCTTGTCACACCCGATCGGGGGTAAGTGCCTCCCCGAGAACAACGTGGGCTTCTCACAAGGTTCTGGCTGTCGAAATCAACCAAGATAACAAACCCAGTAGAGGCTCAAGTTTGGGGTTACGGAAGGAGAGATTTTGGATGATTGCTTAAGTGCCAGTTGACTTGAGAACTGTCTAGACTTGGTACAAAATGCTTTAGTCATTTTCAACCAATATGGGAGCAAATTAGAAAGCAATGCAGTTAGGCGGATGGAAATCTGGCAGGCTAACGCCCTTGCCCGCGCATCTGTCTGACAGTAAGACAGCTGCCTGATCCATCACGGGCTCCGGGAGCTGCAGGAGAGATGAGGATGCGGGAGCTTTCAGACTTGGCATTACACATGCGTTAAAAATTAAAAAAAAGAAAACCATAACCTTGTTCCTGAGACATCCATTTGGGTGCTTAAAAAGGCAGATGCACTTTTTGTTTTAATGAGACTTTTTTTGTTTTTAAACTGGGCCTCATTGGAGGCTGTTACCATCCTCAGTCTCCCACAGACTGCCCTCAAGGATGTGGGTCACGGATTAGGACAGGACGGGTACTGAGGGTACTGACTCCCTTGGTCGAATTACTGAAGAGCCGTCCACCTCCGCCTCCGCCTCTGCCTGGCTATTTTCTGAGGCATGGCGTTCGCTGCCGCTTTTCAGACTCAATTCAAGAGACATCTCTCCATGAACCCTCTCCTGACCCACCTCTAAAGGAATCGCCTCTTCCTATCTTGCTATGGAGAACATCTGTGCATATGTTCACACGCCAGCCTTCCCAGCAAGTGGGACCCAGAATAATCCCTGCCTGGACCCACAGTGTCCAGAGCCTCCTTCCTGGGGCAGAAATGGGTGACATCGGCATCAAATTACTAAGGATTTCTACATTGCCTTTCCCTCCTGTACACTGGCAAATTGAACACAGGACACAAGGCTTTCCGAAAATGCAACTGCGGTGGGGAAGGAAAATCAGCACAGGTGCTAAACAACAAACAACCAGGTCTGGGGCCTGGGGCGGCACCAGGGAGGTGGCTTTGGACGACTGCCAGTTTCCATGGAGTAAATATTCCCACTGTGGCTGAGCTGTCACCCCATGGGAAGCCACGGGAGGCCACAGAGAGGCCATCATGAGAAGCCTGCAGGGCCTGGTGACAGAAGCCCTGTTTGTAGGGGCCCATCCCGAGTGCATTCACAATGACCTCCTCATTTGGAATGCCTTTATCTCCCGTCCTACCCACGTCCCAAGGCTGGGATCTAATCCCGTCAGCACCGTCTGGATTTGTGTCTGGGGAGGTGGCCCTGGAGACAGTGCTGGTTTTGGGGTGATTTCACACCCATGCTTTCAGCAAGACCCACGGGCGTCAGCTAAAGGCCACGGCACAGCTGGGCTGTCTGGATGCCTGGGCAGCTATGTGTCATTTTGGGAGGCTTTTGCTGTGCCAGACACTGGTTTTGTCTCTTGCCTTCAGTCCTCATAGGAGCCCATGCACCAAGGGAGCTGTTACCACCCCATTTTCGACTAAAAAACTGAGGCCAGGGTGGTGTGGTGACTGCAGTGGACAGAGCCAGGAGGTGACTCAAATCCTGTGCTTGAAACCTGCTCTGGGCAGGGGTTCCCATCAGGGGTCATTATGCCCCCAGGGAACACTGGCCATGTCTGGAGACAGTCTGGGTTGTCAGGACTTGGGGGTGGGGTGGGGTGTGCTGCTGGCATCTGGTGGGTGAAGGCCAGGGTGCTGTACACACCCTACAATACACAGGACAGCCCCACGATAGAAGATGTGCAGGTCTCAGGTGTCAACGGGGTGAGGCAGGAAAGCCTCCCTGCTCTGCCGTCCACTCCATGAACCTGCCAGCCAAGTGGCTAGCGTCCCGCAGCCCACTTACCATTTCTGCTCTCTGTTCCCCTGGAGGGCAAAGCTGTTCCCATGCCACACACCATGCCCGGCCTGCATCCTGAGTGTCTGGCGCCCCCAGCCCCTATCAGCAGGCTTTCTGCTCTCTGTTCCCCTGGAGGGCAAAGCTGTTCCCATGCCACACACCATGCCCGGCCTTCATCCTGAGTGTCTGGCGCCCCCAGCCCCTATCAGCAGGAAAGCAATGGCACCCTGGCATTTGGGGAGAGATAGCCTGGTCATGTGAGGCTTCATCCAACTTCCTCCCTTTTCCTGGTAAAAGGCCCTCAGAGGCAGCCACAGGTGGACGTGAGGGTGCGAAGGCCTGGCTTGGAGGCTGCAGACCCGAGTCATGTATTTACAGGCAGGTGTAAGATGGCCCACGGGCCTGAAGATCTCCGGCTCCCGCTTGAGAGCCACGAGAGGACATTTCTTTCC